CACCAAAATGCTTACCGTGTGAGGAGATCACATTATTTATATCCATCAACTCGGCGGTTTTTCTATTTATCGACAGCGGGATTGCGGGAGCTAGTCATTCTACAAGATATATTCTCATTCTCCTTCGAATCCATGACTGCTCCTACTGACTCTGTAGCGTGTCCACGAACCTTTAGTTTGGGTGCATTTCATCCTAGCATTGGAAATCTTAAAATGTGTTGTAAGATTGTCGGTGATAGCCTATTGATATCTCTCTATATATTAACACGAACACTGCAAGTCCACTTGTTGACACGACAAGTTTAAAGAGTTTTATTTATGTGAAGAATAAAAGTCCTATATTTAAGTTCACAAAGCAACCAGGTGGACGATCAGACATGATTTGATGCTTCTCTGGTTTAAAGTTTTATTGAATGATTTAACGGAGAAGTTAATATCCACAGACCCAACGTTTCGCCACTTCTCTATTGCCTTCATCAGGGGTGATCTAATCGTTGCAAAAAGCGTCCTTTTATACCCTCACTAATTAGCTGTCCTTTTTCTGGCGAGGTGTAGATAGACATCAGTTAGTAAGACGCCATCATCACAATTTAAAGGAACGTGGGAAGAGTTGGACCTTATTCCTGTTTCTAACGCACTCTTAATCATTGACAGATTCCCCTCCCCATTCAATGTTGGTTAAAAGTTCATGGAATCACTCTACAACACTGTTTTGGGGAGAAGGGGGCGAAATAGGTTAATTCAACGAAGGAAAAAGAAAAAAAACTGAAGTAATATGGGGTTTAAAAGATCAATCTGTCGACAATTTTGTCGTCCATTGTCTTAATGACCCTATCAGAAATTTCTTTAAATGAAATTTAAAGCGAAGTATGTCTTAATATCGTTTTATCTACTTTATGAATACTTTCGACTGATTGAGCTTTAATGTGGACAGCACTCAGTACACTCTATTTCGTATCGATCCTGTAGTTATCTTGCGACGTTGCAGTCGAGTTTTTAGGCTGAAGAAACTTTTGGTAACATGGTTTTTCAAGGGAAAATCTCTGAACAAGCCTGTGCACTTGTGCGAATTGCACAAAAGTATTAAGGCGAAACATTAACAAAAATCGCGGAGAAGTTTGGCCTCCTCCACCTTTCATAGGATTTTAAACGAGATAAAACGAACAATAAGAAGAAACTAAAAGTAAAAGGAGCTAGTCAACCAAGAAAGCTGAACAAGTGCCAAGACCGTCACCAATTGACGCAAGGGAGATGCTAATTTCCCTGTTAAGAGACTAATGGGAAGAGAAAATTTCAACATTTCACAAGTTTCTTTTAGAACCATTCAACACTTCCTTCATTCGATTTTGTCACCGATTATGTCACACGAAGAAAATATAGCTTTACTAGCATGTCAAGAACAGGTGCTTCAAATTGATGATGATGATGATGAAAGAAAGTGCAGACGGCCTTTTTGTATGGGACATAACGCGGGTGGCGTTAATGGGAAGAGAAAATTTCAACATTTCACAAGTTTCTTTTAGAACCATTCAACACTTCCTTCATTCGATTTTGTCGCCGATTAGGTCACACGAAGAAAATATAGCTTTACTAGCCAGTCAAGAACAGGTGCTTCAAATTGATGATGATGATGATGAAAGAAAGTGCAGACGGCCTTTTTGTATGGGACATAACGCGGGTGGCCACTGGCTACATGTAGATCGAGCTAAACAGCAAGGCTTCATGATTGTGTCATTACGCTTGCATTCCTTTTGAATAGTCACAACATTCGTTCGACCAACTTTGGGGACAATTTCTTTGCTTCAATGGCCCTAGAAAAAACTGAAATTTATTTGAAATAAATTTCAAATAAATTAAATTCTACCGAACAGGCGTTCCAAAGGCGATTTTGAATACGACTAAGGGCGAGACTTTGAAGATTTGTTATCCGGAGAAGAGGAAATGATCAATGCGGGCTGTGATCAACGGATCGAGTCAGCAAATGAGGGTATCTTCTACTCGATTGTTCGCGGCTTTCTTTTTAAGTTAAGCTAAGAAATATCAGCTTCGTATGTTAAAGGAAAAAGTGAAAAACAACTAAATCAATCGTTTGACTTACAGGACTGTAGTAAGGCCAGGTATGTTCCGTGGTATACTTTCCATGTATTCTGCCCCTTCCAACACGTAGTGCGGCGGTGGTCCTTTAACCATGTAACATGCACAACCCAATGGACATTCTACGCAAAGAAAGTACATTAAGTTTTATATGTCACCAACACTGCTAAGTTTTTCTAGTCGTTGCAATCTAAAATTAAAAGTTCCCTTCACGGTACCAGAGTCATAAAAAAGCGAATTCAAATAAATTATGAGCCACACAGTTTGGAACCAAATAAGCTATTCACCGAGACCTTTTCCATTTGCCGATTTTATTTTTTCCTTCTTTTACTCGATATAACTTGAGAGTTCCTAGACATCCTCTTTCTTAGAGAATAAGTACCTACATTTCAAATTCAGTGAGTCTGCCCTGTTAAAGAAATGCTCATTCGTGCGTGAACGGACCAATTAACACTCTAAAATAATTTCCTAGTTAAAAATGGTTCGCGGATGAGTGAGGCTGAGGTCGAAAAATAAGGAAGAGGCTATTACCTGGCTTCATCCAACATTTATCCCTCTCATCTGAAAAGCAGATAGGAAGGATTACCATAGCTTTGCAGTGCTTACAAAAAATTAAGATATTGGACTTTCCGCATGTCGTTTCGTTGCTGTTATGTCTTGAATGTCAGCACGTTGACCGATCACGCAGATTTGAGGTTGGAACTACATGAGGATCCTACATTCTTGTGGCGCTTTTTATTTCGTTATCTCGTGATAGTGAGTAATATTAGACAAAAACATGAATTTTTCACATGAGACACAAAAGAGCAACAATCATATTTCACATCGGGACAAACCTCGCAAATGAATCTGAATGTCAGAATGTCTCTGTATCACCTCAAAAATTAAATCCAGACAATTTTTGATAAATCCCAAACGTTAAGAATTGATAAATCAGTCTTTTTCTTTCAGTTGACAGGTTAACGGCGTTTCAAAAGTATAAAGTTTGTTATTCACATACCGGACGATGAAAAGGTTAGATTGAGGGAGTAACAGAACAGAGTTTTGAGGTTAATGGAACGGTTACATATTCTTGCTCAAGGATATGAAACTTACTTGATATTTGCAAATTCTCTTTATATATTTGAGAAAATTTCGGTACCCTGTTTGCAATCGATAAAAAACGTTGAATCTTAAAAAAGCGTTTGCAATGAACGATGAGACCCCACTACCCTTTGAGCAATTGGTGAAAAATGGAAGGTATCCAGGCTTTCTTGGGAGAAAAGGGATATCATAACAAAGGTTTTTCATGAATAGCGAGAAAAGTGGAGCACTGATTATGCATCAGCAAGTAAATTTCCTATAAAGCCATTGGATCATTCATGGATCATGAATTATACTCTTAGGGGGTCAACGTTTCCGCAATTGAGCTCTGCTTCAATTTTTCTTTGCACTTAGAATTGCCTCCAGAGGTCTTGAACAATACTTATTTTGTTAAAATAAGTTCCTTAGGACGATGTATTTCGTGAGCAAAAGGGCTTTTTACCTTTCCTCATTTCGTAGTAAACTTTGAAACCCGTCCGCACCCCTTTGTTATCAGATTTAAACACGACAAGCAAATTATTAAACGAAGATTCCAGCATTGCAGGATACGTATGACCACAAAATCTGCCAAGCGAAGTAGAATATGTCGAGTTGCCGTCAAATACTTCAACATAATCATTTAAACATTGAGGTTCTGTTGCTTCCAGGTGAAAGTAAAGAAATTCAAGTCTGATTACGAGACCAATCGGAGCGGTGATGCGCCATTCACACCAACTTTCGTTTGCGTAATATCCGGGGTAGTATGGTGACACGATATAACCACTTTTGTCCGTAGAGAGCTCCCTGCAAGCTGGAGATGAATTATTTTATAAAAGGTTTAGTGCGGTAACGTTGTAGTACAATCGTGTTTCTTGTTTTCTAAAGAGTTGGCGTCAGAAGATGCAGTTGTCAGAGAAGAAGAAAGGATTATCATATATATTTTGGGTATACAAAAATCCTTGATTGACCAAGCTTGTTAGGTCAAAAT